CCCCAAAACCCCAAAACCCCAAAACCCCTATTTTCCCATAATTATTGAAATCCAAAATAGAAATATGACAGAATATAGTTGTATCGATTAACTAATATGAAATATGGGATTTAGAATTGGAACGCTTCAAAGAAAAGATCTAGTCTTCCTTTCACTTGTAGAAGCTTATCTTTAACAGCATCGTTTATTTCGACTCCCATCTCGCTGATTCTATTTTGCTCTTCAGGGTATAGCTTGTCTGCAAGATGTTGAGGTTCTACAGGAGGTTCCACCTCAATAGGCTCCTGAAATTCTTCGGTAAGGTCAATGATGTTTTCATCTGAGATTTCGATTCTCACTGGTTTCGGTTCTCCAAATGCTCTTCCAAATTCATCAACAATCTGGAACTGGTAGATTTCGAATTTCTTAATCTTTGGTGTTTTTATTTTTGCTAAGAATTTAGCTTTTACTCCTGGTCTAATTTCCTTAATTGTCGAAGTACATTTCTCTAGTTCGCCTCCATTAGAATTAGCAATGACCAAAGTAGAATAGATAGGCCATCTGGTATTATATTCTGCATCAGGATTTATTGCTTCAAACTCAACATTAAAAGACTCTGTGTCTCTATCAATTGTATGAGTAACATCTATAGGACTTAGCCACTTAACCTTCAACTTATGTATATAGTCATCTTCAAAAGGTTTGTACTCCATCAAGACTGATCTCTTCACCATCTCTGGGAACTCTTGCACCTGCTCTACTGGGACTTCTTCCTCCAAGATCACAGGGTCTTCTCCTTGAGATTTATCTTCTTCAGAGTTCATCTTATTTAGTTCTTCTTCTTGGAGAATTCTTTCCCGCTCAGATGTGCAGCAAGAGCAGAGTCTTTCAGAAAGAGTTGGCTTCTTATGTTCGGAGGATTTGTGAGAACCTGATCTGTGGAAAGACTTTGTATTTCCACTTGCTGATGAGGCACAGCTTTTGGATCTCTTTACAGTCGAGCTTCTATTAGATTCATTTTTATGTCCCTCAGTCCCACTTACATCTGATCTTTTGCTCTTAATGTAGTGAGAACTAGCAGATTTTGATCTTAGAGAAGGCTTCCCGCTTTTAACAGATTCACTAGAGCAGGATTTTCCTTGAATTGATTTAAATTCCTTAGTACAGGAAGATTGAGAATGAATTGATTTATTGACTCAACTTACGAAATTCTCTTGGATAGATTCTCTAATTTTAGACTCGAGCATATGCTTCTGACTAGAAGTCTCATCAGCACAACTATTACAGAAATATCTAGCTTCCACACAGTTATCACTATCTCAAGAAAAACATTTAGCATTAGAAGGAATTTGACCAATCTTCATTAGATCCCCTTCGTTCTGGCTGTGTGAAAGTAGGTACTTTTTGCATTCTTGCATAAGAATAGGAGTTAGCTCTTCCATCTGAGCCTTCACAGCATTAGCTAGAATATTGTTAATGTCTTCTTCTGAGATAGCTTCAATGTGTTCTGACTTTTCCTCAGATTTTTGATCTCCAACGAGATTGGTATTTATTTCTTGGTTGACGACCTGTATCTCAATAGGGTCGTTGCCAGACTCGGCAATCATTATTTCATTCTGATTAGCTTTATCCTCAGTGCTTAGTTCTTCAGTGTTAATATTCTGATCAGCTCATTCAACTGGTAATTCAGCATCAGTTCCAGCTTCAACATTGTCAATAGACTGTGTTTGGACAGAGCTATCTATAATTGGCATTTCGCTAATTTCCATTCAAGTCGATTTTTCGTCAGATTCTATAACTTTGTCTTCTTCTGTCTGAATCCCAGCCTCAGAATGTTCTGATTCTTTCTCTTTTTCAGATTCTTGTTGTTCTACATACTCCTCAATTGGGTGGTAATCCTTGACTTCGTATCTTACCTCTGAGTTTTCTTCATTCTTTTGGTCTTCTATGATTCCAAATTCTTCTGCATTCGGTGAACTATCTCTTGCGAAAGATCCTGGTCTCTCACAAGTACTGACAGTAAGAGCAATGTCCGGGAAATGATCCTCAAGCTTTGCTTCTTCATGGTCCTCTGCCTCTTTTGGCTTGAGGAAAATCTTTGGTACTTTTGGCATAAAAACATTCATGCATTCATCAAAGTCATCTTCATTAGAGATAGTAATAGTATCACCGTCTTCATCATAATAAGTAAGGTTATAGTGTTCTAGCTCAATAACAAGTTTGTTCGTAATTATCTCAGTCAAGGATTGGTAAGTACTGACATCCTTGAGTTTCCTGATCTCATCTTCGTGGATTATTTTAACAGCTCTGGTAGTCATATTTATTATAAATAGATATCAATTTTTCTTCCTTTAAGGGGTTTTGGGGTTTTGGGGTTTTGGGGTTTTGGGGTTTTGGGG